GACATCGAGGCTACGTTGGAAAGAATGGATCAGTACATGGGCGTTAATGCTGTGAAGTGGGTCTGCCTCCGCGCCTTGAGTGATCGGCCATGGTGGGGGCGTGTTTGGATCATACAGGAATTCGCACTCGCAAAGGATTTACTCTTCTTATGGGGCGCGGAGGAAATTCAATGGAAACATATCAACCTGGCTATCAGCAACCTCCAAAAGTCAAACGTAGTGCGTTCCCTTACGCTACTCCAGTCTACGACTCTCGAACCCATATCCCGGTTGTCTGCAATCAAGGATCAACGCTGCGACGCGACGAGTTTTATGGGAACGATCCATACAGCTAGGGCATTTGGATGTTCAGACAATCGCGATCGGATCTTCGCTATCTTGGGACTAGAATGTGGTGATGACCGTTGGGCAGCAGCAGACCCCGTTGGACAATCGCTAGCTAAAGCTACCATACCGGACTATACTTTACCCGCAGAGCACGTCTATCGGCAATTTGCTATCCGGGCCCTGCAGCGGGGTTTGGTGGAAGACATCTTCTTAGCAGTTCAGCACGAGGAGCAGCTAGAACAGTGGCAGCCAGGCGACATGCCATCGTGGTCACCACGTTGGGACCTTCCTCTCGTCAACAACTTTCCATCCTGCCACAGACTGCACGAAATTTGCAAGTTTCACAGTCTCTTCGTAGAGAACGGCATCTCTTTCACAGGATCTACTCCTAAGCCAATGTCTGCACTGCAATCAAATTTCGACCCGCTCGCTGCTGACACTCTTAACGTGCTGAGCGCTACCTTAGACAAGATCGTCGCTCTCTCGGAGCCTATACACCTCGTGCAATTTATGTACCGTAGGAACCGGCCCAACCTCTTAGAAAGCTTCTGGGAAAAGCATATCAGACCTCGCGAAGCGACGAACGGATACAAGGCCGTCATGACAGACTTATGTGAGAACGCTATCTACTACATGACTTCCGAAAACCACGTCAGTGTTTTCTATGCGGTCATTCAATGCTACGCGGAAAAATCTCCAGAAGCGATAGCGAATTATGCGAAACATGGAGAGCATGCCATGTTGAGGTCCGTAGCGCAGTTGCTGTTGGAGACGAGCGAAATTGCATCTGTACAAGATCCATCCCTGCTAGAAGACAAAATGCCGAGTTACATTACCCATCGTCTGAGGTTCTTTATTACCCAGCGGGGCTGCATTGGAAGATGTCCAGCCGCCGTTCGGCCTGGTGATCACGTCGCCCTATTGTGGAACACCGCTTGTCCTGTGATCCTGCGTCCACAGGATCGTTTCTATCGTATCGTTGGCGGTTCATACATGGCAGCCTTGAACAAGAAAAAGACAGAAGGCGTTCCTCACCCACTCGACGATCTATTGTCGGGGAAGTCGAGGCCAGGAATGATTCAGATTCGTTAATCGAAAGAGTTGCACATTGAGTGTGAACGCACTTCTGGAATTGCGATTTCTGGGCTGAGTCCTAGAAAGAAGAAGATCATATGGAATCACAGAATAAAGTGACCAGAAATCCACGCATGCGGTCGGTGGCGCCCCGCTACGAATCCATCGGGAGGCCCCGCGGCATGCGCCACCGGTAGTCTCCGACATGCAGATGAAGAGCAACCCCATCCAAGGATACAGTGAGCGATAAGCGGGAGCAGTGTCTTAGTCTTAATTGACACCTACACCTCTCAAAGGCTGAATTCTCCGTCATCACGAGATCCATCTCAGCTACTCGTCCACAAAATGTCTTCCCACACAACCTCAACGACACTACCACCCAAGGACCTCGTCTCAAGCCTGCTATCTACCATCGAGGATAGCATCATACCCCTGACGCGAAAAGGTGTCTCAAGTGGCTCCAAACTCTTCGGCGCAGCTATCTTATCCCGCAAATATCTTACACCATACACTCTCGCTACGAACAACGAGCGCATCTCACCCCTCTTACACGGCGAGATCAACTGCATCCAACAATTCTGCACCGTCGACTTCCCTGACCCATCAACGCGACCACATCCCGCCAAAGACTGCATCTTTCTTGCTACTCATGAGCCATGCTCGCTATGTCTGAGCGGCATCACTTGGGCGGGTTTCAACGAGTTCTATTACTTGTTCACATACGAAGATAGCCGGGATCTCTTCGGAATTCCGTACGACATCGACATCCTGCAAGAGGTGTTTCGGGTACAAGGACAGGGCGAGACGGAAGAGCAGGTACAAAGCAGGCAGCTCTACAATCGTAAGAATAAGTTCTTCACTGCGAAGAGCTTTGCCGATGTCGTTGGGGAGATTGAAGACGAGAGCGAGAGGAAGCGGCTACTGGGTGAGATCGATAGGGTCAAGAGTCTATACAACAGTCTGAGTGAGACTTATCAAAAGGGGAAAGAAGCGGGCGCAGAAAGTTCAAGTGTGTGGAAGTAGATCATGGTGGTCTTTCTTTGACACGGTCAATGTTCGGCGTTGGTAAACTTCAAGGGCGGCTTCAAGTTCCGCTTTCCAAGGTGTCGCTTTTAGCCCCGCATTTATCGATAACAAATTTCAGCTAGCTTCGACCCCTCCGAATGCGCCTGCGCGTGTGGTGTTAAACTTCAAGTGAAAGGAAATCTGACTCAACCAGAGATAAATTCTGACATTTCCAATCCGTGGTGCCGCGTCGCTTACTTTCGTCTCGTCTTCTCTTTCGAGTCTTTTCGCCAGCCCGTTGCGCAAATTCCTGACAAGACGCGATTGTCAGCGAGGTCAACCGGAAACGGTCGAAATTTTGGTGGGCGAAGAAGGACCCCAGCAACGCTGTGTAACCAATCTGCAGAAGCCGGGCGGGGCTCGACGACGCAGGACGGAAAGATGGCAAACAGTCAACGAGAAGATAACACAATCTACCTCACAGAGAAAGAGGCGGAACGCATCCAGAATACCATCAGAGACCGGTTTAAAAAGTGCGAAGAGCAAAGCGGCAATGCAAAGGCTCCAAGAGACAAGCTGGCCGCTCACCAAGCGGCCACTGGTGCAGCTCTCATGGCGGATATGGGAGGTGCGCCAGATCCCGATATGCTGCAAACCCAGGGGAAGACCTCAACTACTATTCCAGTCATCGGAGTAGGCCGGCCGTATCCACCTTGCACGACTCCACTGTCAGATCTAGAGCCGATGAAGATGTCAGACCTCAGGATGGAGACGCATCACCGAGGCCGCAAACTGGTTGTTAAACGGGAAAGCCCTGTAGTCACACTCGTAGCGAGGTCATGGACTATGGTTCAAAACGAGGATGGAACTGATGCAGAGCGTCTGGAAATACTGCTGCACAAGTCGCGGTATAGCGAGGATGTACTGGAGTCGACCAAGCTTTTCATCATCAAGGAGCCATACTTTACCCTCACTGAACAGGGCGAGCCTACAATCCGCATCGACCATCCTTCAGACCTAGTCATTTGTCATGAAGAAGGCCCAAAGAGCTTCGAGGATGCCGCAGCAGCAGAAAAGGCAGCCACAAGATTTAAGACTCAAGGCAACAACGCACTGAAGAAGCAGGATCTCCCGTTGGCCCACGAGAAGTACACAGCAGGTCTAGCGATCGCAAAGCAAGACATCCTAGCAGAATCGAACCCCGATATAGCCCGCGATATCTCCAGGAATCGTGCATACGTGAACTTGCTACTAGGCCGACTAGATGAAGTAAAGACCGACGCCCGCGCTTCCTTAACCGGACGCGAAGACCAGAAGTCGAAAGAATTAGATAGCAAAGCCTACTTCCGAGCAGGGTCAGCCGCGTACGCTCAAAGCCACTGGGAAGAAGCGAAAGGCTTCTTCCTCGCGCAACAAAAGCTCACCCCCGACGACAAAGACGCCAAACTCCAACTCAAAAAGATCGAAGCCCGCCTCCGCGAAGAAGAAACAGGAGGCTACGATCTAATGAAGATCCGCACCAACCTCTCCAAAGCCCGCTCCCGAGTCGACGCCGGAAACTTCACGAAGAACACGCTCATCAAAGACAGTCCCGGAAAAGGCCGCGGCCTATACGCAACACGCGACCTCACCACCGGCGACATAGTAATGTGCGAAAAAGCCTTCTGCGTAGTCTGGGGTCACGAAGAAGACACCCTAACAGCCATGACGTACGACACGCGCGACGACCGAATCCGCGTCGCACCCGTCGGTCTCGCAAAAGCACTCGTTCAGAAATGTCTGAACCAGCCTTCTCAAACAGAGAAATTGATGGACCTTTTCGGCGACTACCAAGGCGAAGGCCCACAGATCTTCTCCAACGAAGACGGTGCTATTGTAGATGTCTTCCGCGTCCACGATATCATGTCGCGGAACGGATTCGGGCCTGGAAGTCAATTCGGCGAGGAAAGTGCTAGGAACGCTAGTACGGGACTCTGGCGCCACGCGGCTTATATCAACCATTCCTGTTTGTCCAACACGACGAAAGAGTTCGCAGGCGATATGATCATCATACGGGCGACCCAGCCCATCAAAGCCGGTGAAGAGATTTTCCATCCGTACGACGCGTCGCTTGATTACGAGACCAGACAGGGTTTCTTGGAGAGGACATGGGGTTTCAGGTGTCAGTGTAAGCTGTGCGATGCGGAGAAGGAAGATGGCAAGGAGGTGAGGGATAAGCGGATGGAGTTGGTGGGGGAGGCGGATGCGTTTATTGATAAGACGCCTTGGGCGGGGGCCAAGAGACTGCAGTTGAGGAAGGCGCAGGGGATTCTGAGGGAGATGGATAAGACGTATGATGAGGGGAGGTGGGAGGGTTTGCCTAGGAGGCATACGGAGGGGATTAGGGCGTGGTTGGTTAGGGCTAGTCCGCGGTAGGATGTGTAATAGGGGGCCTGTTGCGAAAGGGTATGTGGGATGTGAAGTGTGGATATGTGGATTGGTATATCGCTAGTCTGAATTACAAAGATACGAGCGAGTGCGTCTAATCGCCAGCTACAACCCCCTTCTATCAATACAACGGAAAGCACGTGCGATCGAGTACTAACAAAGTCCGCTCAAACCTTCGTCGACTTCGTCTCCATCATCTTCGGCTCCTCGTACGGCGGCACTGATCCCGTCTCCTCGCTGCCTATCCTCATAATCGCGTTCGTGTTGTCAATCGTCTCCAAAGGCGCAACTGGCTTGTCACCGAGAAGGACCTTCTCGGATGGGATAATCCAGTTGAACCACGATGGCATCAGAAGACCCAGAACGATGGTAGGCAGCACGAGGTGCACTATGCTGAAGCCGTAGATCATGATGGGGTCGAACATGTGTTGTTGTGTGAACTTGGGGTAGGCGAAGGAGAGGACGATAGCGAGAATGGGACCGGAGATGTACTGTAAGGTAGAACAGTCAGCGAGATGCACTGAAAGGTTTGATTAGATGTGAACATACCTTCATGATAACAGCCCAGTAAAAGGGAATGTTCCAGTTCTTTCCGACTCCAATAGTCACGTTCATATCCCGGGTAAGCTGGTGTCCAGGGTAGAAAGCGACCCACCAGAAGCGGCTCAGGAACTTGTTGTTACCGAAGAAGCGGGGGCCGGGGATAGCAGGGGTTCGGGCAGCGAAGAGCGCGATCAAAGAGCTGACGATGAAGAAGGCGAAACCGACACCAGCACCGGTTCCTGGAGTCGAGCCGTAGGCGACGCGAATGCCGAGACCTTGGGCGACGGCGAAACCGATAGTGAAGATGAGGTATCCCGGCCAGCCCACTTGGTGGGCGACGTCGCGACAGCGGTAGAGTGATGTTGCAGCGAAGGTCTCGCACCAGACTGTGAAGAAGAGGGCGACATCGTTGACGTAGGTGTCAACTGCGTCGAGGGCCTGCAGTCCGAACTCGGTGCAGTAGATGAGGGAGATGAGTGCGGAGATGACGGTGACAATCGTGCAGACGGCCCAGCGAGGAAGTTTGCGCCCCCAGTTCGTGTCCATGATGAGTGTTGTCATGACTTCGAGGAGGGAGAAGGCGGATGTCAGACCGAGGAGGAAGAGGGTGAAGACTATGAGGAAAGATTAGCAAGTTGCCTCATTCGAGGATGATGTCTTCCAACTCACAAAAGACGACGGAGAAGAACGGAGCACCTGGCATCTGAGCAAGAGCCTCGGGGTAGGTGATGAATCCTGTCACGAAAGTACCGAGCTGTGTGCCGCTGGAGGGATCAATGCCCAGGTAGCCGACAACACCGAAAATGGAGAAAGCGGCAATAATCTCAACGGCTGAGTTGCTGAAACCAATGATGAGAGCATCTTGTACAGCGTTGGAGTGCGAAGAGCAGTAAGATGCCCACGAGGTGAAGTATCTAGAGACATCAGTATACCTTTTTTCTCAGAAGTGCAACTAAACATACCCAAAACCGACACCGATGGAGAAGAAGATCTGACCAAAAGCCGCTTGCCAAATCTGAGGGCTCTCAAGTGCGCTGGTACGCCATGTCGCGAAGTAAAGCTTAATACCTTCTCCAGCATTAGGCAGCGAGACTCCACGGCCGATGAGGATGATGATTAGTACGAGCGGAAGACCCATAGTAACGTAGATGACACGTCCGGTCATACCGACACCCCTGAAAACGCACAACCAGGTGACGAACCAAGTGAAGATGGCCCAGCCTGCGGTCTCTCCGAGCATACCAGTACCGACGTATTGAGTGTACGAAGCAACGCTGCCATCGGGGTTGAGACTACCAGTGGAAGCTGCGGCCGTGTTGGCAACGATGACGTTGGCGAAGTACTCCTCGAGATCCTGGCCTTTCCATGGCAGAGGGCTTTGGAAACTGCGGGAGAAGTACTTCATGATCCATGCTAGAAGGGGCACATAGTAGGTAACCACGACATACTATGGAGTTGCAAAGTCAGCGTATATTTCTCAGTATTGCAAGTCAATTCCACTCACGCCGTTGAAGACGACTGCTAGACCAATACCCTTGGCGCGCTTGTTGTTGCTGTGCCACGCGAGCACTGGGCCACCACGGTAAACGCTACCGAGTGCGATCTCAAGGACCAGGACAGGCAAAGCGACGAAGAATAGGGCGATGAAGTAGGGGATGAAGAATTGGAGGCCGTAGTTGTTGTACACGACCGATGGGAAGCGCAGCAGGTTACCAAGACCAACAGCACCGCCCATGGCGCAGAGGACGAACTGGATGCGGTTCGAGAACATGTCGCGTCCATCTTCGCTCTTCTTCGCCGCTGGCGAGAGCTTCATGAGGATATTCTTGATTGCAGCCATCTTGACGACTGGATGTAGTGGGTAGAGAACGAGAGAAAAGGAGTTTGTCGCTCCCGACAGAGTGACGGGGTCAATTCACGACCGTGTAAAGGCGAGTTGCGGATCTGAACGTGAAAGTCGAACCGTAAGATTTGCGCAGTGAGATCCCGGTATATAGAGTCCTACAATCTGACTGTCGTGCCACATATCCTATCTCTCCAAGCATGTGCCCAGCCCAAGCAATCGCCCACCTTCCTTCTACAAACAGCACTAGTAGTGTGGCGCTCGCATCCAAGGCTTCCCCAGATCCTGCGCAGAGGCTCAGCTAGCTTGGGCGTACCCTACTATTCGGGTACAACGGGTCTTGGGTGATCAGCAGCTGTACATTGGTTGGTTCGCTCCATCCTCAGCGCTCAACACCACTGCCGATGCCGTACCAGGCGTGCATGTATCTCGGACATGGCGCTGAACCTGTGTTGGTGCGTCCGCCACGGAGGGAATGAGATATCGTCTAGTCAGTCCATTCGGTCTTAGGTTCTAGTGTATTGATCTTGGCGCGCGGTAAAGCTTGCGCACGCGACAGAGCTCGACGCATCCAGATCTGGGGTAAGGCTCGGAATCCGTCTATGGATTGCGAGTGGGACCAGAGTTGGCCGTCAGCCACGAGGGGTCCGATACGTCTTGGTGCCTAAGCACGATGGCCTCGGCGTGCGTTTGTGGTCACACACGTGACCCATCGGGAGGCATCTACATCAGTACTCGTTATATCGTTCAGGTGTCTTTTGGCGACACGCGTCCGATGAACAATGGCCCACCCGGCTCAAATACTCCTGTCGAAATTCGTCGCCGACATGGACAGGTTCTCGGTCAGCCAGCTGGGAGTAAGGTTACGCCGAGTGATTGCTATCAGTCAGAGGGCGTCCGGCTATGCGGCACTCTCTTGGCCTTGGCGGCTTGGATGCCCAGTGGTCTGGGTCGGGCTCACAGTCGCTCCCACGATTGTATGTGTTGGTATGACCCTCTCATGATTGAATGAGAAGGTGTTGGCGTTGGTAATGATGATAGGGACGCCGGTCGCTTGGCTATGGTCGCAATTCGGCGGTTATCTGCGGCATGGTGGTGGTTTTGGCAAAGCGTCGCTCCTTGTGAACGTCTTCTAGAAGCAAGAGTGGTCTGCGAGGGGTCCTAAGTTGTCTTGGTGTTGTGTGCCTCCTCTTGCTGCATTGCGCTAATCAGGTGCCGGCTCGTGGCTGGGTGTTTGGAAGGGGCGTAGAAGAGGCAGCATCGTGCCTACCTAAGTAACTTTGGAAACGTCGCGTCAATCAGAGGTGATCTTGACGAACAAGCTGTTTTATTCGCAAAGAGTCGCAAAACTGTGAGAGTTAGGGGCATTGCCTTCAGTTATATAGGATGGACCTTGATGGATCACTCGTAGGGCGCGCGGGCGGGAGTGGAGGCTAGCGCCGATTTCGGGGATGTCGGACCCGTCTCGGAATGATCGTGCGGCGGAGAACTTCACGAACACATGTTCTCAAACCTACCTGTTGCAAAGATATGGCGTATTTGGATATAGTGTAGACGAGTCGCTCCTCATTTCGTTGCTGGAGATGGATTCGGCATTACCGCTCATGCTCAACTTCAAAGAAACGCGCATGGACAGAGCGTAACAGCAATGCGATGAACTTGGTATCGAGACTACGGGAATGAAGGAGGAAGCTGTCCTCGTGAAAATGAGAAGAACTGTGTAGGAGATCGTTTCGGTCGTTACCCCACACTCAATCACACCTCAAACTCCGAACCCCAACTCTCTCAACCCCATCACCACCCTACCACCAGCCTCTTCCACACCCTCCCATAGCCCCCTCAACCCCTCATCGCTATCTCCCAACACCGGATCCTTCTCCGGCATGCCCACTTTCCACACTTCCCCCTCTTTCCCATCATGCTCACCTCCAACAGCGAAGTCCCAAACTCCGCCATAAGGATACGCACCCATCATCATAAACTTCCCGCCGCTAACATCCACACTCTCAAAAAACCTCCTCCTCTCCGCCTCCTTCTCCTCATCGACCTCCGCTGCCCTCCCCTCCTCTACATCTTTCGGTTGGTGAAACGCCAATTCCTCGTTCCGTGGTCGCGGCAAAAAGGTTTTGTGGCTAACCCCCGCTGGGATGATGAAGACATCGCCCAGTTCCGCTTTGATATCCACGCCACCAACCTCTCCATCTCCCCTGTCACCCGGTTCGTATTTCCCCTGCGACCAAGACGGGGAGTCAGCGACGCCGAAACGGATCCATGCCCCTTCGCCTGAGATAACGGTCATGGCTTCGTGGGTAGTGGAGTGGTAGTGCGATTGTATGTCCATTCCGTACTGCGCTATCCATTGTGTTTGCCAGCCATTCGATGCATAAAGGTCGAGAATCTCTCTTGTTTTGAAGTGCGGGGAGGTCACCATATCATAGAGAAGACCGGGATAGTGGAGCAGCGGGTACGGTGAGTTAGGAATGAGGGCTGTAGGAGGGAGTTTGTATTCGTGGACTTTTGTCGCCATGGTAGGATCCGGACGAGGTAATTTTGAGTATTTGGGTTTGATGTGGAAGATCCCGCAGGTCAAACGAGACAGGAAATTTCTGAAACGCCCCATCGGATTAGTCGCGACGGGAGTAACCGTCGAAGTTTGGTACGGTGAGGGGCGGGGTTGAGTTTGTTGGTAACCTTGGAAGGAGTGGGGTATACTAACGGATATACACATGGGGAATGGCTTACCCGAATAGGAAGTAGCAGCGCGGGGTTCCACGTCAGGACTATTAATGGGATGGGAACCGAAGTATCTGCACCTTTGTATTTGTAATGTGTCTACGCCGGACACCTGCAGTTTCGCGATATCAGTTTTACCCAAGATCCTTCAGTTGCTTTAGCTAGCTTGGAGTGCTGGTGCAATCGAATGGCAAAGTTACGATTCCGTGTGCAGGGAAGGCTCAAGCACTTCAGACCTAAACTTGACTCAATTTTGGCAATTTACATGGTGCTTTGGGTTTCTTCCGATGACCCGTCCGCGGAGTTAAAGAGGTGCAGCTTCAGTGCGGGTGTACTTATCCCTTGCGCAATGCCTATCTGGCGGAGGAGTACATACTGGAAGACATGGAGAGGTTCTTGGGTGGTTCCTGCCCAAATACGCGCCTGATCTCATACGCTCCTACTCCTTCACGACGACTTTAACCTAATGTAGAGGTACTGACATCTTGGCATGCATCGGACGGCCGGGAGCAGAGCTTAATTGGCCAATGAAAAGCCGTGTCTTCGAACGTCGAAAGCCTTAGACGGATTGCAATATGCAGCTAAAGCTGCGATCAATACATCTCGGTCTCGTGCAATATACACGTATTCACATTGGGCATACCTTTCAAAACTCCGCTGTGACGAACCACTCACCCTCGCTATCGAACACCCAACCCTTGCGCATCCTTCGACTCCTTACATCGCGCCTCCAAAGCACCGAATCCCTCCCATCAGTTCCGCTCCGCACTAGACTCTAAGGATTGCGATCTCTCTTATTTTACAAGGAGTATCTTTTGCGTATATACTAGTAATGTATTTTAGGAGTTATATGTAACTCGTCTCGCTTTGCGTTATCGCAGTACTATAGATAGGATGGAAGGGAACTAGAATATTGAATCGCACACCGCAGTGAGTCAACGGTCCCGCATCCCCCATCTATCCAAAGTGAGTCGAAATGTCTACACTACCAACGGCATGGCGAGATATCATGTTTCCTTGTATCCACGGCTAGCTTGTCACTGTTGCACTCCTTTTCATGGAAAAGACATTCAGAACCTTGACTTGGCCCCTCTTGTGTCCTCTTAACCTGCCCATCCTTTATAGCCGTCTTCCCACCTCACATGATGCCCAACTCCCCGAAACCCTTGAGAACCTCTTTGTCCACTCGGCTCAACCACTCTTCCTGGAAGGCTTGTTCACCACCCACCTGTTGGATGACCTGTTGGAGATGTTCCCTAACGAATGCAACGAGATTGATCTGATGCACAGGATCGGTATAGATGAGTTCGCGCTTGCGGATATCCTCCGGTGCCTCAGGTTCGGTGGGGTGGTAAGGCTCTGGAGGCCAGAATAGGGAACTAGAAAGAGACATCAGTATGGTCACAAAAACAATTGTAAATGGGTATACGTACTCTTGACTCCGATCATCCATGCCATCCAGCAACTCCCCGAGTACATCCGTCCATATTCCTACCAGCGACTGCAGCCTGCCCAACATCCAAGGCTGTGCTCCTTCTAAGAAACGTGTGAGAACAAGGCACATGAGTTTCTTATTTGGCGCATCGCCAATGTTCTCGATATGGCCGAACCACTCTTCCAACAACCAGTCTAGAGTCTTCTCTAGACCTTCACTTGATAATGCGGAGAGGGCTTCGAGGAGTACAGAAGGTGAAGCCATGCCGATACGTGCTAGCACAGTGAAGTAGTCGGTTTCGACAACTCCATCAACAGCGCGGGAAGGGAGTTCGCGGTAAGGGCCGTGGGATTGATGGTGGGTCCATGCGCCGTGGAGACCCTCCAAAACCTTTGCTAGGAATCCGGAAGAGATCAAATCGCTAGTCAGAACCTTGACAGCGTTCTCACCACCTACACCTTCCGCACCTCGAATGATGCATGTCACGAGATGTGTCATTATGCCATTCGCTTCGGGTTTCAAGTTGCCTAGGAGCCCGGCGAGGGCTTGGAGGATCGCGGGACGGAAAGAGTCTGCCAGGACGGCGGAGGGCGCAAGAAGCAGGTATGCTTCTGTGATCTCAATGGCTTTTCGCAGTGTCTCGTTGTCCATGGAGAACAGAGGTAGCAGATATTGAATTAGGTTGAGCAATTCAGGTGGTGTAGGCTCTGGAGCTGATGGTGTTTGTGCAATGATAGAGGCCCATAGATCGAGTGCATCTTCAAGGAGGTAGACCTGGGTTTCTGATCCAGGCTCGATAGCGCTCTGGATAATGGGTAAGAATGAGACA